TTCAAAGTAGCATAACACAGAAAAATCCTGTATAAATGAAGTGGTACGAGGACTGGACTGAAAAAAGGAAAAGGAAAAGGAAATAAAAAAGGAAAAAATACTTGAGGCAATTGCGTACCTTGTAGGCATACATTTTTTTTTGTTTTCAAACTGATTTAAAAAAACAGATGCTTATTCTATTTTTATGTTATACTCCAAAAATGGGAAAATGGTCCATATTTTTATTTTTATCACTATCAGACCATTTCAGGAATTAAAAAATGCTAGCTAACTAGTTTTCCATTTCTTTAAGAATTGTCAGCTGATAGTTTATCACTGATGATTCAATCGGTTTCCAGGAATTCTGGTGCTTTTAGCACATGAATGAGGAACTTGAAGCTGCAGCATGTTCCACAGAACAGCGGTGAGTTGCCTGAACAGTTTGAAACTGAAATTTGAGCGACTAAAAAGTACACAAATCCTGAAGTAATTTGAACGGTAATATATATATACAGTGGTGTGAAAAAGTGTTTGCCCCCTTCCTCATTTGCTGTTTTTTTGCATGTTTGTCACACTTAAGTGTTTCGGAACATCAAACCAATTTAAACAATAKTCAAGGACAACACAAGTAAACACGAAATGCAATTTGTAAATGAAGGTGTTTAATATTAAAAGAGAAAAAAATCTAAACCATCATGGCCCTGTGTGAAAAAGTGATTGCCCCCTAAACCTAATAACTGGTTGGGCCACCCTTGGCAGCAACAACTGCAACCAAGCGTTTGCGATAACTTGCAATGAGTCTTTTACAGAGTTCTGGAGGAATTTTGGCCCACTCATCTTTGCAGAATTGTTCTAATTCAGTTACATTAGAGGGTTTTCGAGCATGATACCACAACATCTCAATAGGATTCAGGTCAGGACTTTGGCTAGGCCACTCCAAAGTCTTCATTTTGTTTTTCTTCAGCCATTCAGTGGTGGACTTACTGGTATGTTTAGGATCATTGTCCTGCTGCAGAACCCAAGTTCGTTTCAGCTTGAGTTCACGAACAGATGGTCGGACATTCTCCTTCAGGATCTTTTGGTAGATAGCAGAATTCATAGTTCCATTTATCACAGCAAGTCTTCCAGGTCCTGATGCAGCAAAACAGCCCCAGACCATCACACTACCACCACCATATTTTACTGTTGGTATAATGTTCTTTTTCTGAAATGCAGTGTTCTTTTTACGCCAGATGTAATGGGACACACACCTTCCAAAGAGTTCCACTTTTGTCTCATCGGTCCACAGAATGTTTTCCCAAAAGTCTTGGGGATCATCAAGATGCATTTTGGAAAAATTGAGATGAGCTTTAATGTTCTTTTTGCTCAGCAGTGGTTTTCTTCTTGGAACTCTGCCATGCAGGCCATTTTTGCCCAGTCTTTTTCTGATGGTGGAGGCATGAACGCTGACCTTAACTGAGGCAAGTGAGGCCTGCATTTCTTTGGACGTTGTTGTGGGGTCTTTTGTGACCTCTTGGATGAGTCGTCGCTGCGCTCTTGGGGTAATTTTGGGCGGCCGGCCACTCCTGGGAAGGTTCACCACTGTTCCATGTCTTCGCCATTTGTGGATAATGGCTCTCACAGTGGTTCGCTGGATTCCCAAATCTTTGGAAATGGCTTTATAACCCTTTCCAGACTGATAGATCTTAATTACTGTCTTTCTCACTTGTTCCTGAATTTCTTTGGATCTCGGCATGATGTGTAGCTTTTAAGGATCTTTTGGTGGACTTCACTGTGTCAGGCAGCTCCTATTTAAGTGATGTCTTGATTGAAAACAGGTGTGGCAATAATCAGGCCTCGGTGTGGCTAGAGAAATTGAACTCAGGTGTTAAAAACCACAGTTATAGTATATTTTAACAAGGGGGCAATCACTTTTTCACACAGGGCCATGATGGTTTGGATTTTTTCTCCTTTAATAATAAACACCTTCATTTACAAATTGCATTTTGTGTTTACTTGTGTTGTCCTTGAATATTGTTTAAATTGGTTTGATGTTCCGAAACACTTAAGTGTGACAAACATGCAAAAAAACAGCAAATGAGGAAGGGGGCAAACACTTTTTCACACCACTGTACATATATATAAAAWAWAWAAAAAAAAAATATATATATATATATGTATAATTTACCTAATTTCCCTCTGGGATCAATAAAGTATTTTTGAAATGAATTGAATTTAATATATATAGGGTGCAACGATACCGAAAATTCACGATTCGGTTCAGTTCGATTATTTAGTCTCACTGTTTGATATTTTTTCAATAAAACAAAAGAGAATTGCTATGCTCTTTTTAACTTGTAATTTATTTAAATTAATTATGAACATTTGTTTAACCTCAAAATACAGTTTTCAAATTAAATGTTTCTGAAACAGCAAGTTTCTCATTGGATCTATGCTCAACAATGCAGCCTAGGTGGAGTAGTCGAACACAGATCCACTGATCCTTTAACACAGAGCATCTTCAGAGAACAAGTTGATAAAATAAATTTAAAAAATCTGTATTGCTCGATACAAGTGTGTATTGAACCTAAAGCACGGTTCGATGTGGGTACATGTATTGTTGCACCCCTTGTATATATGTAATTTTCTACAGAAACCCACAWTAAAGTACCCAAATTACTCATATTAGTTATGTATTTTACTAGTAGCATGGACAAAAAGACAAAAGTATTCATCCAGACTAGCCAAACAAAAGTCTGTTCATCGTTTGAGGCTTTTAAAACTGGCACATGAGTCATTTTGACCCAAGGACAGCAGGAGGTTTAAAACATACTTATGTGAAGGAACACTATATTAGTCTAAAAAAAGTTGAGTAGATTTCCTGAGTACAAAATCAACTTTTTTCCTTCCTACCTGGATTATTGAGATGCATCAGGACAACACTACATTAGCTAATATTAGTATTTATCATTGAGAGGTCAGACTAAAGTTTTTTATTTGTAGACATGCTAATTGAATGGTTCTCCATATTACACCATGTAGGTTTAAAGTACATATATTTTGATGAGCTAGCAAACATGTCACACTTAATTTACTTCAACACAACTGGAATGAAAATACCATGAGTTAGGTTTATAATAGAGCAATTAAATACCTTTTGTAAACTTTACAAAGTAATTTTAATGACTTAGTCATAAACTTGCCATCATGTAGCAATAAGTAGATAATCCTACACAGAAGATAATGTGTGTTTTAGTTCCTTTGCTTCCTTTTTATTTCGTCATTTTTCTGTACTCCCACCTTGTTAACTTGACTTTTGTTCCCCTGACTGATCCCTCTTTTATTCCCCAGCTGCAGTTCGTATGTTGCTCCTCGACCTCATTTAATTCACTCTTTCTTCTGTCTTACCCTTTTCTCCTGTCCTTTTTTTTTCTTTGTACTTTCGCTATCTCGTTTCCACAGAGGACACTCACACACACACAATATTCTGAGTGCTTGCAAAGCTTTCTATACGTCCAACTGGCCGATGTGTTTGCTCCTCCTAAGTCTGTGCACAAAGTACACTGTTTGCTTGAGTTGTCAAATACAACATTTGAGGCCAGTGAAAGTTTGAGCTTGAACTGCAGCGTTAAAGACCTCATTTCTGTAGACTAATTTAGTTAATATGCATCAGGAAATGACAAATGAGATATTTTCAGCTAGCAGAACAAACACTGAAATAAATTTAAGGATAACAAAAGCAAAAATTAACAACAAAAAATAAAATAAAGTGAAACTAGCATYCCTGTAGTTGCACAACAGAGTCATGCTTACACCTCAAGGATAAGCACTCTTTTGAAGACTAAAATGTTCATATTTTAGACAGAAAAGACCAATGGTTTGAGAAAGTGATAAAGGAAACAATAAAAAAAACTTAATGACAAAGGTAGTCTGGAATCTAGCTTACATTAAAAAGAACATGTCATGCAGCTTGAAAGTTTTCAGCCTTTTTTTTTATTAAGAAAGCTCTCTGGGTAGGAGGTGAAATGCGTTAAACTACAAAATGTTTTATTTTTAGCCATGTCCTGTAATAAGACTGAGAATCTACACCAGTATATTGAAAATGCTCACTCACCATCTAAATTTGTCAAACAGCAGAAAGATACGTGAAAGGCACCTTTTCTCTCAGCTATTCATCCTCGCACTTGTTCATTTCACAGGCTGTTAATCATTACTGTGATTATTTAATTAAATAACTTTGCTTTTTTTCTGTGGCCTAAAGTCTACAAAGGACTGCTGTTGCCATGAGCAACGGTGTATGTGCGATGGAGGACTCGGGGCATAATGACAGGAGAAATGTCTGTGGGAGTGGTACGAAGGGCAGCTCGTGAGTCCTTGTGACTAGGCCACAGTTGGATTCCATCGACAGAAACCAGCTGATGTGAACAAAGTTTCTGCTCCSTTTTACTAACCCATGAGGACAAAATATACAAACAGGCCATAAAAAACAAGTCCATCTGCAAGATATAATATTTGTAGTACAACTGGTCGAGTTGGGGAACGCTTAAGACAAATACTTAGCTTACAAATTGTTTGTATTTGAACTAATGGTCTGACGGCATGAGCCATGTTCTTACTGAGATATTACAAAATTTTGATGAAGCATCAATAGTTGTAGCAACCAAGGCAGAAATTCTATTAAATCATTTTAACTGTGTTCCATAGKTCTTTATGAAAATTGTATCTGTTTATCAAAAAAAGATTTGTTCCTCTTAAAAATTCTGCCATTTTTTGAGTTTATGGAAAATTTGAAAATAAAAATGGAATAAATTATACTGATAAGTTACCAGACAAAAATTATGGCAATTATGTTTCAGTGTAATGTGCTGTTTATTGTAATCAAATAGAATTTTTTTTAAATTTGAATTAATCTGCTTTTTTGTGTAGTGCTCTGAGGTGACTTTTGCTCTCACTTGGTCTTGTTTGCACCCTCTGATGCAAATCTCCTCATTTCCTCCTGRATTCAAAAAGAATTCAGCAGTACCATCCAAGAATCTACTTACCTGCCCACTCTCCAGCTCCATCTTCATACTTGCCCTTGCTTCATGCTCCTCTGACTTCGGAAACCTTCATCTTCTCTTGGACCTACAAATGAAAAAGTAAAATGTAAGACATCTACTCACTGAAACAATCTCAGATCCACCACCAACTCCAGTCCTCTCCTCCTGCAGAATGATTGTGGAAAATGTATCATAGCAGCAATAATTAATGGAAGTTAATGGAGTCTCTTCATCCATCTTTATGTTTATGCAGCCAACTAAAGTGCTGGCAGACAACACATTTCCAAAACTTAAGTTAAGTCTTGAATACCTCTTTCATTAGGTGCGTTTGCCATTTTCTGGCCAATTACTGATCATTGATATGGTGGTGGTTGTAAAATAAAATAAAATAAAATAAAAAAAACACATGAGACATTGTAAGGTTGGAGAGAATTTGTGGAGTCATTGTGACACATTTTGTAAATTGTTGTAAAAAAAACACCTGGAAATTTGCACAGAATTTAATGTAAAAACATGGATATAATTTTGTTTTTTGCTAAATTTGTACACATTTATGAAATTTACACTATAGATT